AATAATTTATTATCTATGAGCTCTATTTACATCAAGTAGTGTCACCTACAATAATTTATCATCTATGAGCTCGAATTACATCAAGTAGTGTCACCTACAATAATTTATTATCTATGAGCTCTATTTACATCAAGTAGTGTCACCTACAATAATTTATCATCTATGAGCTCTAATTACATCAAGTAGTGTCACCCACAATAATTTATTATCTATGAGCTCTATTTACATCAAGTAGTGTCACTTACAATAATTTATCTGTGAGCTCTAATTACATCAAGTAGTGTCACCTGCAATAATTTATCATCTATGAGCTCTAATTACATCAAGTAGTGTCACCCACAATAATTTATTATCTGTGAGCTCTAATTACATCAAGTAGTGTCACCTACAATAATTTATCATCTATGAGCTCTAATTACATCAAGTAGTGTCACCTACAATAATTTATTATCTATGAGCTCTAATTACATCAAGTAGTGTCACCTACAATAATTTATTATCTATGAGCTCTAATTACATCAAGTAGTGTCACCTACAATAATTTATCATCTATGAGCTCTAATTACATCAAGTAGTGTCACCCACAATAATTTATTATCTATGAGCTCTATTTACATCAAGTAGTGTCACCCACAATAATTTATTATCTATGAGCTCTATTTACATCAAGTAGTGTCACCGACAATAATTTATCATCTATGAGCTCTATTTACATCAAGTAGTGTCACCCACAATAATTTATTATCTATGAGCTCTATTTACATCAAGTAGTGTCATCTACAATAATTTATTATCTATGAGCTCTAATTGTAGGTGACACTACTTGATGTAATGACACTACTTGATGTAAATAGAGCTCATAGATAATAAATTATTGTGGGTGACACTACTTGATGTAATTAGAGCTCATAGATGATAAATTACTTCATGTAAATAAAATTATTGTGGGTGACACTATAGAGCTCATAGATAATTGACACTACTTGATATAAACCTACAGAGCTCATAGATGATAAATTATTGTTGATGTAAATAAATTATTGTGGGTGACACTAACACTACTTGATGTAAATAGAGCTCATAGATAATCACCTACAATAATTTATTATCTATGAGCTCTAATTACATCAAGTCGTGTCACCTACAATAATTTATCTATGAATTCTAATTACATCAAGTAGTGTCACCTACAATAATTTATCATCTATGAGCTCTAATTACATCAAGTAGTGTCACCTACAATAATTTATCATCTATGAGCTCTAATTACATCACGTAGTGTTACCTACAATAATTTATTATCTATGAGCACTGATTACATCATGTAGTGTCACCTAAAATAATTTATTATCTATGAGCTCTGATTATAATAATTAAATCAGTCACTAGAATTGGATGTCCCAAAACTATTATAATTTTTCTGGCTTTCTAAATAAGTTATAAATAGGATAAAAAATTCATTAAGAACTTTAAAAACCAGAATATCACTTTCTACTATCACTTTCCAGCAGAAAAAGTAACAGATAAGTTGTAAAAATTTATATAGAAGAGATCCTGTTCTTTCTATTGGTTATAAATCTATCATAAATAAATATTCAAATTATAAATTATGCACTGAAACCAAGTTTATTGATACAGATTGTTAATAAAGTTGTTTAAATTTTGAATAAAACCCTGTAAAAGGTCATCACGTACACACACTGATACAGCTACGCTTATAAGTTAATCGGTTAGTGCCAAGACTCATGAAAACAATCAACTAATCAAAATTAGAGTTTTCAATGATTATTATTTTTTATTATTCCAACTATCTACATAATTGAAATACTAGCAGTATGTTTGTTCATTGTTAAGCACGAAGCTACATAATGTACTGTACCAACTATGGGTACTGAAACCCAATTTATAGCAACAGAATCATTTTACAAGATATGAAGTTCATACAAACAGTCTCATCATGTAATGAACTGGTTTAAACATACATAATACTGCAAGAAGTCAGCCACATATATACACATCACTTTGAATACAAAATTACTGTTTAAAATATACAATTAAATCGTTTTCACTAACTCCACCATTTCATAGCAGGCAACTTTCTGAAATATAGGAAAACTATAGGAATATCTGAATTTATAGGAACATAACTTCTCGCAGTATTTACTGTGAATGCTATTTTAATAATTATAAATATTCTAAGTCCTTAATTTGAAGACAATACTTACCGGAATGAGAAATGCAAGGGTTTTACCAGATCCTGTCTTGGCTGCTCCCAATATATCCAACCCCCTCAGTGCAAGCCCTACAGATTCTTTCTGAATTTCTGTTGGTTCGAAATATCCCCCATCCTTAAGTCCTGAAACAGCAAAGTATTTAGCTACATCAAATATTACTATTGTAGGCAAACTAAAGTTATACACTTTATTATTTTAAACACATACAGTACAAGTTAAAACATTTCTGACATAAATGAAGATTACTAAAAGAATGTAAAAGTTTCTTCAATTAATATGTTTCATCTGTATTTTATTAGTATGTATGTGTGCGTGTGTATATTTTAATTAACATTATTATTCAAGTGCATCTTTTCATATTACACTACCTGTACAGAACAGAACTATATATTAAAAACCAGACAAAATTCTTAACATACATCCAGAAATATTATTTTTGACATTTTAATATTTACTTTCATTTCAAGAATATCAATAACATAATCTGAAAATCCAACAATTTAATAACTGCATGTGCTAAAAGTAGTTTAATCAAAAATAACAACAACAATGGTAAGAATGAAATATTTGTGTATCACATGTTTAGGATCCATCATTAGTAATCTGTAAGAAATAGTAAATGCTTACATAACTTTTATAAATCAACAAACACAAGTACAAAATTAGAACAGAATTAAATGAAGAAGAAGACTGTCAACTGTTATGTATTCTTTGATTAACAATGTTTCTTTTATTAAAAATTCAGAGTCACTTCTAACAGTAGTTAAAATCTGGTAAATGTCCACACTGAGAAGGGGTATAGGTTGCCAAATTACTTATCTGTTACCTGTGCTATTACGAACCATCTATTAAACTTACTTTTTCTTCTCATCATCCTCTCATTTTTTATTAATATCTTTTAAGCACTTTATATTTTGTCTCTTAATAAATTAATAAGTAAATAAAAATCATTGAAAATATTGCAAAATTCTAAATCTCCTTTTTCACACATAGACCATAAAACAGTGGATTGTACTTCAGTATAAAGACAATACTTGAACTGTACAACCAATACTTGATTTCACAAACTGTACACTAGCTTGTGATATTCACCTAACTTGTTATAAATCTATGTACTAGGACAAAAATAATTTTTTACATACATAGTTACAAGTTCTTGTATTCATTTAGTACAATTCTTCATTGATTACGATAAATACCTTACCTAGCTTTGTCCTTTGAGACAATGGGAAATCTGTAAAGTTTCTCACTGCAGTAGAGTCGATCTTCACCATGATAAAAAAAATACTTGTATTAGTTTTATTATAAAAATACATGTTTGTTTCTGTATAATATGTATAACATTATCTTCACCATGATAAAAAAAATACTTGTATTAGTTTTATTATAAAAATACATGTTTGTTTCTGTATAAAAATTAATGAATTGTAACAATATGCAATTATAATCATAATTTTGAAACTGTAGACATAAAAGTTTAAATTTTACTGTACAATACTGTCAGTTTATAACCAGTCCTCTTGTTTAAATTTTAACAGGTATTATCTCATCACAAAAGCAATCAGTGGAACTATGGGTGAATATTTAGCACTTATATACTTGGTTCACAGCAAAGTCTCAATATTTCAATAATGTTGTTCTGCCATGGGAAAACTTGTAGCTGTAGAAATTTGTCATAACTTGTCTTAGAAAGTATATGTTTAATACATTTGGGGGGGGGATACAGAATCACTTGGTGTACAGTGTCTGTTGAATATATTCATTACTTATATATGTTTAATAGATTGGGGGATACAGAATCACTTGGTATACAGTGTCTGTTGAATATATTCATTAGTTATATATGTTTAATACATTGGGTGATACAGAATCACTTGGTGTACAGTGTCTGTTGAATATATTCATTAGTTATATATGATTACTACATTGGGTGATACAGAATCACTTGGTATACAGTGTCTGTTGAATATATTCATTAGTTATATATGTTTAATACATTGGGGGATACAGAATCACTTGGTATACAGTGTCTGTTGAATATATTCATTACTTATATATGTTTAATACATTGGGGGATACAGAATCACTTGGTGTACAGTGTCTGTTGAATATATTCATTACTTATATATGTTTAATACATTGGGGGATACAGAAATACTTGGTTCACAGTGTCTGTTGAATATATTCATTAGTTATATGTGTTTAATAGATTGGGGATAGAGATCAATTGATTTACAGAGTCTATTGAATTTATTCATTACTGGTACAATCAGGGGATACAGAATGGGGCATATCTCATAGTAACATTAACAACAACAAGGACTGGAAGTTGGTGAAAACCTACAAGCCGAAAGTTCTTGAGCTTGAAACCAAAACTTGTCATCAATGGTAGTTTTCATGAAAAAAGGATGGCAAAAGAAACTAAAATCACAGTAATTACATTCAATATCTAAAATAAATAATGTTCACTATTTCTTATATTTAAAAATACTTGTGTTAGAAATGACCTTTCCATATTTCTGTTCATAGAAAACAAAATCCTTCATTTATCCCTTTTTTGCTCTGTTACAAAATAATTTAAAACTTGAAAACATTTTTAACCGTGTACTTCACAATACCAAGTTTTAAAAAGATATCTTTCAAGATGTAATGTAAAATATGTAGGTATAATAGGTTTACTTTTAGGTCTTTGGCTGGATAGCTTAAACATGGCCTTGAAAGCCAATTACAGTGACAGTGTGAAAAGTTTCAAGATTCTTGAGGTCGGCATGACATTACAGTCATGTAATTTTGCTTGGTAACACATTGCCATCTTAACAAAAGGGCAAACAATAGCGAAGTAAGTACAGCTGCGTGTACACAATTTATGTTAGTCTGTCTTATGCATGCGTTACTGCTGAAGCTGCTGAGCAAATTATTCAATTATTGTTTGATAGTCAAATTATCAATTGAAATGTATTACTAATATGTGGAGAAATTGTCAGTTGATAGCTCTCAACTACAACAATCTTCTCTCCTTTTCTGTAGCTGGACTGGGTATCAAATAGAAAGAGTTCAGGTCTTCTTTAATTTCAATACACAACAACTCTTCACTATATTTGAAACAATAAAAGTTCTTCACAGAAGGCAAGTGTACAGATTGAACAAACTTTCCCATTTATTGTGCTATACGTTTGCCCCTTTGCTTCGTTTGCTATGTGCACATTGCATTGTTAGAGGGCATAGTTCGCAGACGTCCAACCTCAAGAATGTGTGATTTACAACTGGCCGCAAAGTTCCTTGCAAAAACTTGTGAGAATGAAACTTGATGAATCAGGCAATGGAATGTAACAAAAGACACCAGATTCATCATACAAGATGATAAACATTGGCAGTAGTTTTACATAAGAGTAGCTCAGAATTTGAAGCATAATTCTTAGAATCTTACAAAGTATGATAAACCTTAGTATTAGTAATATCAAGCTATTCTAATTTTATTAATGATAGCAACAATTACTACTAGTCTTAAAAATGTCCAACATTTTGCATAATAAAAAAATATCCGCTATACTGCAAAGGATATATATATACGATTAGAGTACATGCTTCAGCTTACATATTTAAAAGTCTAATAGTAACAGTATTATTAGTAGAAGTTTAGGCTTAATCTCGGGAAAACTAAATCCAACTTGAAGTTCGCAACTTTACCTTTTCGTACTTCGAAACAAGTTTCTGAATTTCAGAATTTTGTATTTCTCGGCGTTTCTGCTTCTTTCTATAAAGTTTTATAGACTGATTCTTATTCAAACGTGTTCGACTGTTATTTTGAGCGGGTCCTTCGAATTTTTGTTTTACATTCGATACACCGCGATTCATGGTGGTGGCCATGTGAGTTTATTCCCAGTTCGTTGGAATTACAATTCTGAATCTTCTAATCTACAACACACAAAATCAAACAATTATTTTTCAAATTAGAATAATTATTTGATTTTTAAAAACTTCCAAAAAGACTATTAAAGCATTTGAAAAGGTAATTTATAGCAAAATAAATATATAAACAAAATACTACTTGTTAATAACAATAATGACATTAAGTTAAATTAAAACTGATAGATTATAAATGTTAGATTAATTAAATTGTTTAAATATTTAAAACCTAACAATAAACTAATACGTGAATATATGGATAATTAAAATGGCATAATATTTTCCTAGTATAGAATAATTGCAGTATGAATTTTAGATTGTTATTAGTTTTTGTTATTTTAAAGATAATAAGAAGTGATAATAGTGTATAAACAGTGCATTGGCCAATGATCATTTTCGCTAGTAGAATAAGTGACTATGCAAATTGGCTTAGTTTTCGAAATACGTTTTCTCGGGGGGTCATTAGTTTTTGTTTCTTTGTAGTTTATCTACAAAACTAAATAATGGGCTGTATGTGCTCTGATCACCACGGGTATCGAAACCAGATTTCTAGTGTTGTAAGTCCGCAGACATGCGGCTGTACCACTTTGTGAGGGGGGGAGTTCAGTGGTAAGTTTACAGACTTACAGCGCTAAAATCCGGGCTTTATTTTCGTTAAATCACTACGGAAGATATATTAATTTATTTAGTTTGTTCAAAACAAGCGCTACGGAAGATATATTAATTTATTTGGTTTGTTCAGAACAAGCACTACGGAAAATAGATTAATTTATTTAGTTGTTACGTGTCCGTTCGTTAATTAA